CTCGCCCTGTGGCTCGTGCGCTCCCAGCCTCGCCTGCTCGGGGCGGCCCTAGGCTCCCGTCCCCTCAAGAGGGGTGGTGGGCTGGGGGAGCGGGACGCTTTGCGCTTCGCCGGGCAGCCCGGCTGCGAGGGGGATGGTGCCCCCGACCCACGCTTGGCCCCCGTAGCACCGTGGCGAGCTCAGAGCAATGACTGCCCCCGTCCCCGTCTTCCATGCCTGGGGGGAGCCCGGCCACCCATCCCGGGGGCCACTCACTTCCCAAGCTCTGCCTGCCCCTCAGCTCCTGGCCTTCCTCTGGCTGGGGACGCTGGGCCAGGGATGGAGGTCTTCGTATTTATTTCTGACTGGGGAGGCCGCGCGGCGGCACACGGCACTGCCTGGGAGCGTGGAGCGAGCTGCGGGAGAGCCAAGGAGCGTGGCTGGGTCTGGCGTGCCCATGGCAAGGAGGGGCCTGGGTCGGCGTCGGAGGCTAGCTGGATGCTGCAGGACTCAACTGATCCTTCTCTCTTTTTTTTTGAGGTTGGGTTTTTTTTGAAAAATTTTTTTTTTTTTTTTATAAGGAGTTGTCTGTTTAAAATGATGATGAAATGATTTTTCTACCTGTTGTTGAACTTGCAACTCTTGGAGATTTTTAGCCAGAGATGCCAAGGTTCGTCTTCCCAGGGGCCCTCCCGGTCGGTCCTCTGGTGTTTTCGGTCCGTCCCAGCTCAGCGTGGGCGAGAGGGTGTTGGGTCTGGCAAGTCAGAGGATCCCACTGTGGTGACCTGTCCTTGCGTTGCTCTTCCTGCGAGGGCTTTGCCCTACCTGGCGGCACCTGTTTGTTTCAGACAGTCTAATGTATTTATTTTTGATGGCACTTGAGCGGTAACCCGCTGTCCCAGACACGTTACTGCAGCTGCAAGAGGAGCATCGGAGCGGAGGCCACCCAGCCGTGCCGCTGTGTCCCCTGGGCAGCAGCTGCCACGCTCGGGGCTGCCGGTGGGGACAGGGGCTGCCCGTCCTCTGGCACACCTCCTGCCCCGGCCTGGGATGAGCCGGGGAAGGGCTGATGGGGAGAGGCGCGGTGGAGGCGAGGGCTGTCCCGGACCTGTGCCCACGCATGCACCCACGGCGCGCTCCCGCACACGCTTCCTTTCTGCAATGACCAAAGGGCTGGGACGGGGGTCCCCGCTGCAAGCACTTCTTTCTGCTCCTGTCTTTAGCTCGCCCTCCGTGCATCCAGAGCAACGTCTCACACCCTCTTCCCTGCCGACCTCGAGGGCCCTGGCCAGCAGCAGAAAGGGCCCCCGTGGTGAACAACCCTCCAGTCTCTTGCACTGGGTCAGGTTTACCCCTAAGGGGAAAAGTTGAAAAAAAAAAAACCAACAAAAAAAACCCAAACCCCAAAGTAATAAAAAGGCTTTTTGTTGTACAGCAAAGTCTGTGCTGCAGTCCCTGCTGCTGCACCAGCGTGGTCGGAGGGAGGTGGGGCTCCGGCCACTCGCAGAGCCCCGTCACTCACAGCATCGGCCCCAGGACGCCCCTCGTTTTTACCCGATGCTGATCCCGCTGGCCCGCTGCAGACAGGTCCCCGTGCGGGGTCAGCCAGTGCTTTCCTCTGCACTTATTTTACGTTGATTTGTTTATAAATAAAAGGATAACTAAGTTCCTCCCTGCTGGTTTTGTGTGCACTGATGGGAGCGCGTGGCTGGGCCCCTGGCTGTGTCTCCTCAAGGGCGCCCGCCGTGGGGGGAGCCTGGGGAGCGCAGGGACAGGGCATGGGGTGCTGCTTCAGGACAGACAAACCCCCCAGCTGCTCCTGCCCTGCTCCTCCAGGGCTGTTTGTGGGAGAGCTGGGCCAGACCTGGGCTGAGAAAAACAATACGACGCAAGCAATCTGGTGATGCGATGAACGAGGGCTCATTAGTGACGACAGCGAAGTGCGTCGGCTCCTGTCCGGTCTCTGCTCGGCCCCTCTGACACCGCCCCAGGCTCCTGCTCTTTGCAGCTCTGCCCCTCAAAAGCCTCGAGTGTTACTTGGTCCCGACCAGCTGTGCGCTGCTCGCCAGGATTCTCTTCCCGAGGAGCAGCCCCGTCAGAGAAGCACTGCGGGTCCCTGTGCTTGCAACGCACGCGTGGTGGAGGGGCTCCATCACTACG